TTGTGAGCTCCGTCTCCTCTTTTGCTGGTCGAGATGTGTTGATATTACTGGGTGATTTCAATATTAATCTTTTGGACACAACAAGTGCCAAAACAAAATTGTTAATGCAATTTTTACACAGTATCAACATGAGACAGTTAAACACAGAACCAACACATTTTACAGAGCACAGTTCAACATTAATTGATCTTGTCTGTAGTGACACAGGAGTTCTGAAAGTCATCACAAGACACATTCCTGATCTTGGGGCACACGCAATAATTTCAGCCGAATTCAAATAAAAAAAGGACGACCTCCTCCTCAGTGGGTGAGTTACAGGCCACTAAGTAATGTACTGGTAGACCAACTAAATAGAGACTTAGAAGCTATTAATTGGGATCAATTTTATGAACTCGATAGTGTAAACAACCAAGCTGAAATTTTTACACAGTGTTTAACGGCTTTATTCGACCTGCATGCCCCCATAACGAAAAAAAAATTTAAACATCCACCACACCCCTGGATTACTGATTGTGTCAAATCCATGATGCGAATAAGGGATGCCTACCATGAACGCTTCAAGCTGCAAAAAACGGAGGCTCATAGAATATGCTACAGAAACATGAAACAGCTTGTGGTGGAGGCCATTAACATTGAAAAAAAATGCTATTTTGCTCAGCATATTAACAACTACAGCAAAAACTCTAAAAAACTTTGGCGCAACCTTAAAAGCGGTATAATTGCTGATAATAAAAAGACTGTAGATATTCCAGCACATCTCAGTGACCCTGACCTTGTTAATGCGCACTTCCTCAATATACCGGGCAATGGGCAGGTAACAATATCGCAGCTCACATATTTTGAGTTCCATAGATACGGACCTGCAGTTTTCTCCTTGCAGACTGTATCGGAGGATACTGTTCTGAAAACCATCAAAGGATTCAAGTCTGATGCACAAGGACATGATGGTCTGTCACTAAATATGATACAGTTGACCCTGCCGCAAACTCTAAAGGCCATCACAACCATTATTAATAGGTCCATTATAGATGGTGTCTTCCCTGATAGCTGGAAGGTTGCTGTAGTTAAGCCCCTGCCTAAAGTCAGCAACCCGACCACCATGAATGACTTGAGACCTATTAGCTTGCTCCCCTTTGTGTCTAAGGTCTTGGAGAAAGTTGTTTGTGAGCAACTTATAAGATACCTAGAGACTAATAATATATTACCAGAGCGACAGTCTGGATTCCGTCGAGGTTATAGCACAGCAACTGCCTTAGCAGATGTTGTGGATAACCTTCTAGCAGCCCAGGATCAGGGGAACCTTAGTATCCTTTTATTGCTTGATTTTTCAAGGGCGTTTGACGCAATAAATGTGGATCTCCTGCTTTCTAAACTGGCTTACTATGGAGTTAGTGCCCAATCAATAAAGTGGTTTCATAGTTACCTTGGAAATAGACAACAGTGCGTTGAGCTGACTAGGATAGATGGAACCAAACAGCGCTCCAACAAGCTCATGGTGACCCATGGTGTCCCTCAGGGTTCAATTTTGGGACCCACTCTGTATGTTTTATTCAGCGGTGATATCACAGAAAATATAAGCCACTGTCAATATCACTTGTATGCAGATGACCTGCAACTGTATCTTCCATTCAAGTACTCTGACCACAATAATGCTGTAAATAAGATGAATGAGGATCTAAATCGTATTTCCGATTGGTGCAGGTCGAACTCGCTGGTTCTCAACCCAAAAAAAACTAAATTATTATTAATAGGTTCCAAAAAGAATGTTAAATTTTTTGAAGACATGACACTTAATATAAATATAGATGGAGAGAGAATAGAACGCGTAAATTATGCTAGAAATTTGGGACTGATTATGGATGAACAACTTAGCTTCGAAAGTCACATTGCTGAATGTTCCCGCATTTGCTTTTATAGGTTAAAGCTGCTGTACAATATTAGACCCTATTTAAGTGAGGAGCTGAGAATCAAGTTGTGTGAAATGCTCGTACTTTCAAAGTTAAATTACTGTGATACTGTTTTTGGACCCTGCCTAATGTCCAGAACTAGTAAGATCATTCAACGCATACAGAATGCTTGTGCTCGTTTTTGTTTTTATGTGCCTCCTCGTTCACACATAACTCCCTTTTTGAACGCCGCAAAACTTTTAAAGATGGAGGCAAGGAGGAAGTTACATCTAGCTACCTTATTATTTGATGTTCTGGACAAAGGAAGGCCAAGCTATCTCTATAATAAGCTTGTATGGATGCGTGACCAGAGTAGATACCCGGTTAGACGGTGTTGGCCTGTCTTCTTTACCATGAAGCACCGAACAGCAGCATTTCGTGGATCCTTTCGGTTTGCAGCCTCAAAATGCTGGAACGATCTTCCCCCGCCCGTGCGTGATCTGAAAACCATTGGAACATTCAGAAAACATTGCAAAACATATCTACTTCATATACAAAGTTCATCATAGGATTCACGACACGACTTAAGTACCTAGTTTTTTCACTTCGCGTCGGTTTGTTTGAATCGTTCCGGTTGTGTTAGCTGGCACTATCGACGATCGGCGTAATGTTTGTCTGTTATTATAGCCATATCCTTATAAAAAATCTCGCCATCCATCTTGCTTTCACCACGTTGGTATAGTAATGTAAGATGAAAAATTGTATTTGTAGCTGAATTCCTGTGTATTTGCTGATTATTTGTTGTTTTGCTGTTTTTGCATACTGCCTTATTTTGTTTGTCCTCTCTTGCTGTCTATTCTTAGTTACACACAGGCATAAATCGGCAGCGAAATTACTATTATTGTTTTTGCAACATAAATACTTATTTAATTGTGTTTAAAGTTTAAGGTTAGTGTTTTTATTTTTTTGGAGGTTCAGTTTGTACTCTGTGAACTCTGTCCTCCCACAGATTAGTCATTCTTTTTTTTTTATTTTATTTTTTTACTAAATCTTTGCATTGTCTAAAGGCTAAGATTGTAAAATTATACAGCCATTCCATTTTCTTTTTTTCTCTTTGATATGTATTTATTGGTATGCTTGTTTCTTTTTGTGTATTATTGTTGTTTTTATTAATTATCTGTGTCATCAACCATAGGCCCTGCCAGAATTATCAGCGCTGCAGCATCCCTGGTGTTGCTGTAGTATTCAAGCTGAGGCAGGGACCTAGTTGGCCTATTTTGTCTTGTTTTATTTATGTAAATGTTACTGTGTTTAAGGCTAATAAATTTATTTCTATTCTATTCTATTCTATTCTACAAAGTATTTCCCTATGAAATTGCCGTTCTGCTATACTGGCTATTACAAGTCCACTTTTTCCTTTTTTCGCTAAGAGTTCTAAGTTTAAATTATTTTTATTTTTATAATATGGAATTCTTTTTTGAAAATTACTTGATTGTTTAATGGTTAGCGTTCTGTTTTCAGCGGATTTGTACGTTTTTCGTCATCATGGATACGATGAAAATTTGAGCTATTATGGAAGCTGAGTTCAGTCGTGGCAGCAAAGCTACAGAAGCGGCATGCAACATCTACGACGTATACGGAGCGAACACTACTAATTATTGCACCGGCGATTATTGCTTTGCCCGCTTCCGTTCTAGCAATTTCGACCTAAGAAATGAACCCCATGGTCGAACTAAAACTTAAGTCAACAATGACGAATTAAAGGCTATTGTGGAAGCTGATGATTTTCAATCTACAGATGAATTAACAGCAGCTTTCGATGTCAGCATGAAACAATATTGTTCCATTTGCATCAAATTGGCAAGGTAAAAAAGCTTGAAAAATGGGTGCCCCATGAATACAATTATCGTAGTGTTAACTACGCGTCGAGTCGAGCCTAGCTGCTCAACAGGCACACAAACGTAGGCATATTGCGAAGAAAAATGGATTCTGTTCGACAATCGCAAGTGCTCAGCAAGTTGGTTAGATCCTGGTTCAGCAACTAAACAATACCCTAAACCAAAACTGACCCCTAAAAAGTGAGAGTAACTGTTTGGTTTTCTAGCCCTGGTGTCATTCATCACAGCTTCTTACTAAACGGGATGAGTATTACTGCAGATCGATACTTGTAATCTCAATTGACGTAAAGCACATTTTGGCCAAAATGAGTTATGATTGCCAACATACTTATTTTTTTTTTTCTCTTTTTTTCTGTCTAATCTACGTATCTCTACGGCCATTACTAACGATTTTAGACACACTGAAAATGTAACTTAAAGAACATTTTCAATATGAAATTGTAAAACTTTAGGTAGTATGTGATATTGACAAATTAATACGTAACGTAAAGAATGTCAAAATCTTATTTTGTTTTTAACAGCCAAACCATTTATTATAAATGATGCTAAATGTGCTTTAAGTCAAAATCTGTTAATCACTCTGTAAACCTAATAGGGCGTAAAGCACACTCCATGAAATTATTATTATTTATGTGCTTTACTTCCATTAGCATAATAGACCTTGTTTAAATTTTGAAGGCGTAAATATCTTTTACAGTACGTATTGTGTTTTACACCCTACTTATGTGTTAATGGCAAAAGAAACGCCACCTTACAACCTTAAACCCGAGACGAATAACATAATTTTGTTTCTTACGTAACATTAATTTTGTGTCTCTAACCAACAAATCAAAATCAGAAACAAATATGATTTAAACTGTATTGCAAATGAAAATAGCTCTAAAATTCCTTGACAAATTTTGCATGTTGGTACAGCAGCACCAAAAGTTTTGACCATTGTGGCGCTGCATGCAAGCAGATAGCTCTGTTTTACCGACACCCGTCAAACGTTCTTCGTTGTATCAAAAAAATTAAATGTGCTTTACGCTCATAGTTACAGAATACTTTATTAATTGCACCGATACGATTTCAAAGTAGTTGATTCAAAGTACCTAATTCGAATGATGTTCAAACAACAAAACACTTTGCACGGATAGGAGAACTCTTGTTTGAAACATTATTATTAAGTGATTTGTGTTATTATAATAATAGTGCAGTGTGTGCTATCGAACACCAAATGGCTGATAAGGATAAATATTGTCCTTTGGGCAAGCGTCGGAGACAAATCATTTCACTGGCAAAAAAACGTGAAGAGATTTTCAGGTAAGTACTTACCTAAGAATTGTCCAAATGTTCTCTAAGTTAGTTTTTGTTTTAGATAAGTACCTTAATAAAAAGTTCATTATCCTAGTATTATTCCTACTTATATTCAACTATTTAATATTACACTTAAACGAGAAAGTTTGTATGTTTGTTACTCAATCACGCAAAAACGACTAAACGGATTTAGATTAAATTTAGCATATATATAGTCTGTTACCTAAATTGACACCTATGATACTATTAATTCGGGAAAAAATATGTTCCCGTGGGATTCTTTAATACATATCGAGGTAGGTGCCCCGTTATTGTAATTATCAATAAATTACATTTATGATCGCCTTTATATTTCGAGTACATATTTTACCTACTTACAATTTTTTCTTCTTTATCTACTTAAAATTAAACAGGGTGTAAATAGACTGTGCTCATAGCCAAAAGTCTCGCATTGTAGACACCCTAAAACGCTCTTATAATATGCAAAAAATATGGCGCTAAACTGTCGGTTCTTTCATGAGACAAGTTGATGCAAACATAAACAATAATATATTTTACAAGTAAAAACAAGATAGTTTAAGACGCAATTTGCAAAAATATAGTTACTTACCTAAAAAATATTTCAAATTTGAATGTCGATATCTCCTAAAGCAGGTACGAGTTTCCCAAGCATAGTTCCTTGGGTAAAAGTAGTTAGTTGTTTAAGTGTTTTGATTACGAACCTTTGAGCTCTTCTTTTTCAGGTCAGATTCACCAGAAAAACGAATCTCAGATGTCGACAAAGATGAAATGGAAAACACTGATTCCGAATCTGAGATGTATGTTTATAGGAAGCCACGTACTACCATGAACGCAAGCACTAGCGAAGATGATGATAACTGCAGAAAGATTAAACCTACAAAGAAGATTCACATTTTATCTGAGATCATAATAAAGAAACCACTTTCTCACATCTCACCAAGAAATACAAATACCACGTCTGTCCTGGCGCTCGCTCCTGCTGCTGTGGAAGCCTCATCGTTTGCTTCTGAGTCCCACCCAGCTACTGAGCACGTCTCGCCATCCGACCAGTGTCCCCCGTCGCCGGCGCTTGTTCCCGTTGCTGTGGAAGCCTTGCTGTCTGCTTCGTGGAACTTACCTGAGTCCCACCCAGCCACTGAGCACGTCTTGCCATCCGACCAGTGTCCCCCGTCGCCGACGCTTGTTCCCGCTGCTGTGGAAGCCTCGTTGTCTGCTTCGTGCAACTTAGTTGAGTTCCACCCAGCTACTGAGCACGTCTCGCCATCCGACCAGTGTCCCCCGTCGCCGACGCTTGTTCCCGCTGCTGTGAAACCCTCGTTGTCTGCTTCGTGCAACTTAGTTGAGTTCCACCCAGCTACTGAGCACGTCTCGCCATCCGACCAGTGTCCCCCGCCACCGGCGCTTGTTCCCGCTGCTTTGGAAACCTCGTCGTCTGCTTCGTGGAACTTACCTGAATCCCAACCAGATACTGAGCACGTGTTGCCATCCGACCAGTGTCCCCCGCCGCCGGCGCTCGTTTCCGCTGCTGTGGAAACCTCGTCCTCTGCTTCATGGAACTTACCTGAGTCCTACCCAGCTACTGAGCACGTCGCGCCATCCGTCCAGTGTCCCCTGCCGCCGGCGCTCGTTCCTGCTGTTGTGGAAACCTCGTCGTCTGCTTCGTGCAACTTAGTTGAGTCCAAACAAGCCACTGAGAATGTCTCGAATGGATTGTCACTACTTACTTCCGATTTAAAACACATGTCCAGTAAAAATAGAAGAAAACGCATAACAAAACTAAAGAAGGCTTTTATCGATTTTGTTTCTGATACAGAAGAACAAGATTTTTCCTCAGGAAGTTCAGACCTATGGAATAGTGGTAATGAATCTAGTTCTAGCGACATCTCAGAAGAGACAAAAACAAGAAAGAAAATTAAAAGAAAGAAGTTACAAAATAAAAAAGACCACAATCCAACAATGATTGAATTATTTGCTGATGACACCTCTTTATTGTTTAAAGCTAGAAGAGGAAATGATTGTTATGACGAAGTAAATTGTGCTCTCTCTGAAGTCCTTCACTGGTTTACGGTAAATAATTTAAAACTTAACTCCAGTAAAACAAAATGCATTAAGTTTACTCTACCTAATGTGAGGCAGGTTAATACTAGTATAAAAATAAATGACCAGCCTGTAGAGTTAGTGGATTCTACAAAGTTTCTGGGTATTACTTTAGACTCTCGTCTGCAATGGGATCCTCATATTGATGCCTTGTCAAGTAGATTGAGCTCTACAGCTTTCGCTGTTAAAAAAATAAGACTCTTAACTGATGTGGAAACGGCAAGATTAGTTTACTTTGGTAACTTTCATAGTGTTATGTCATATGGCCTTTTGTTGTGGGGCTCAGCCGCTAATATCGAAAGTATTTTCATACTGCAAAAGAGAGCTATTCGCGCCATATACAATCTAAAGGCAAGAGAATCCCTTAGAGAAAAATTTAAAGAAATTAATATTTTAACACTGGCGTCGCAATACATTTATGAAAATTTAATATATGTAAGAAAAAACTATGATGAATTTGCAAAAAAAAGTCAAACCCATAACTTTAACACGAGATTTAAGAACAAGCTTGCCGTTCCATGTTTCAGACTCCAAAAATCAAGAGGTTCATTTCTGGGTTGTAGTATTGCATTGTTTAACAAAAATCCCCAAGATCTGATTGAGCTTCCACTGACTAAATTTAAATCTCAGATCAAAAATACTCTTATGAATAAGGGCTATTATAAAGTTGTTGATTATCTAAATGATCGTAATGCATGGACATAGTGTTTCTTATAATTTGATATTAAATGGGTATTAGTCATTTTTCATAACAGTAACATTGTACCTATCTAATGCCGCTTCCTATATACTACTTAAAATGTTAACTATAAAATTAATTGTAACTATATATTTATATTCTATGTAATGGAAAGTGACTTCAGACGTATTTCTGAAGTAATTTTTCAACTTGACGACACTGTATATAACAATACAGGGAGAAAAAAACAGCCCTTGCTGAGTTTCTTGCCGGTTCTTCTCAGTACAAGGTCTCCCGCCGTAGTTTTTGCGAACCGATGGCGTAGCTTCTTGACCTTCACAAGTGCTTGTAACAGCCTAGACTGAATAAATGACATTTCATTTCATTTCATTTCATTTCATTTCATTTCATTTCATTTCATTTCATTTCATTTCATTTCATTTCATTTCATTTCATTTCATTTCATTTCATTTCATTTCATTTCATTTCATTTCATTTCATTTCATTTCATTTCATTTCATTTCATTTCATTTCATTTCATTTCATTTCATTTCATTTCATTTCATTTCATTTCATTTCATTTCATTTCATTTCATTTCATTTCATTTCATTTCATTTCATTTCATTTCATTTCATTTCATTTCATTTCATTTCATTTCATTTCATTTCATTTCATTTCATTTCATTTCATTTCATTTCATTTCATTTCATTTCATTTCATTTCATTTCATTTCATTTCATTTCATTTCATTTCATTTCATTTCATTAAAAAAAATACGTGTCAACAAAACTAAATTGAGCAAAGTTTTGAAAGACTCAGGTAAATCATACGCGACAAGAGACGGCCAATTAAAAACCGACAAAAAAATGAAAGAAAATCCTTGTAATGCAAAGAAATGTCTTAGAAAGTGCTACGAAATAAGTGAAGAAAGAAGGAAAAGTCTTCACGACCATTTTTGGAATCTTGACACTTTGCGTAGGCGAGACTGGATACTTAGATGCGCTCAAGCAGTTCCTATTAAACGTAGGAAACGTTTGGCTAATGACAATAATCGCAGACAGACTACGTACGAATACACTATCAATCAAGGGGAAGGGCACACACAAGTATGCCAGAAGCTTTTGTTAAACACATTGTGTATTTTGCAAAAATACACAATGTATACAATAAAAAATTCACATGAAAACATGGCTCAATGTGATAGAAGGAGATCCAATGTTGCTGAAACGTACTCTGAAGAGACCAAACAATATGTGAGAACCTACATTACGAACCTACCGGCGATACCATCCCATTATAACAGAAAAAGAAGTAACAAGACATATCTTCCTCAAGAGTTTAAAAATGTGTCTATACTTTACCGTCTCTATTCAGAACATTGCAAAAGTATGCAAAGTGAGGACAATCCTCATCCTAAATATCAAATAGTAAGTGAGAGACTTTTTAGAAACATTTTCTCTGAATATAACATCAGTTTTCATGTCCCAAAAAAGGACAAATGTGTACAATGCACAAAGAATGAAAATAATGAGAATACAGTCAGTAATGCTGATGTTGAAAATCACCTTGCTGAAAAAATAGCCTCTTATAAGAGGTTTAAGTTTCACCAAAATCTTAGACCTCAATACAATGATACGGTTGTATGTAGTTTTGATTTACAGAAAGTGCTGAATACGCCGCATGGTGAAAGCATGTTGTTATATTACTCGCGAAAATACGCAGTATACAATCTTACATTTTATGAAAGTGTTACGCAGAATGTTTTTTGTTTTACTTGGGGTGAAACGGATGCTAAGCGAGGAAGTAACGAGATAGCCACTTCTATATCGAAATACTTGGAAATTGTTGATCAAAGGAGCATAAAAAATGTAATACTATATTGTGATTCATGCAGCGGACAAAACAAAAATAAGAATGTACTAGCGACTATAAATAACTTTCTACAAGCTTCAAAATATGTCGAAGTTGTGCAAATTAACTTTTTGCTTCCAGGCCATACCTACATGCCTGTTGATTCAGTGCATGCTGTGATAGAGAGAGAAGTGAGGAGGCAAATTGTGTGGAGTCCATCACAATGGGCTACATTTTTTGAATCTGCCCGTAAAAAGCCGAGACCTTATACAGTAATTGCTCTTGACCATAACGATTTTCTAAACTTTGACGACTTTGCTACAGATATTTTCACAAAAAACACTTTGAAAAATATTCAATTTAAGGAGATAAGAATCGTAACTATGAAGAAGAAGACTACAAATAGAATTTTTATTAAGTATTCTATGAAAGAGCATGCAGAATGTCATGAAGTAAAACTGTGCGATAACACCTACACAAATAGAAAAAGTAAAGGCAAAGGCACTAGTAAAAGAAGAAAAACAGAAAATTTAAATCAAAATAACACCAATGAAGAGCCACTTACAACGAACAGGATAAAAAAGCTATACAACTCAAAACTCCCAATATCAGATGCAAAGTACAAAAATCTTATTTCACTATGTGAGAAAGGCGTTATACCTAAAAGATTTCACAATGAATACAGACAACTGCCTACACATTCAAGTGTTAAAGATAGATTAGCAGAAACTGACGAAGAAGATGATGATGAAGAATAATAAACATTACAGGCCGGTTGAATAGCAGACGTGGAGAATAGAGGGATAGAAAACAATTAAAAATACTTGCAGAATATTTTTATTATAAGTTGATTATTCAATATTATTAAAAACTGATTGACAAACAAAAAAATAGTAGTAGTTTCTTGTTTTGTTTTTAATTATTTGTTGATTAGTGATGTACCTTTAATTTGAAGACTGATTGAATGTATAATGCTTTAACAATGCCAATTTTAGTGCAAATGAGGGAATGCTTATGTAATACCTACCCACTTTGTCAAATTATCTTTGCTAGAACACTTTGAACACTTACAGAGTTGGGATAGAATCAACATTCCCTCGTTTGGTGTAAATTATTTGATAGTTATTTTAATATTAATACTATGACGCTTTATGTTATTGCTTGTGGATTTTTTGTTGCTTTTTGTTTTATTAGTAATAAGCTGGCTTTGTTATCTTATCAAAAAAGAATAAAGAACAAATACCTACATATAGTTTAAGTAAATAATAAAAAAAAACTGTTACGGCGATTTAGTTCTTTCTTCTGGTCTCCTTTATTAATTGTAATAGTTGAGTGTAAAAAGGAATGCTGCTCTTAAAACGCACAGTTACTTAATTGAACCTACGCTGATGATAGCAGAATGTTTAAGATTAATTATTATTTTAAAATAATAAGACATGACGATTTATTACTTAAATAATTCTTTTATTTTTTAGTTATCCATACATTAATTCCCTTGATAGCACATGTTATTTAAAATTACTTGTAGGCTATGTATGCTACACCGCCTAATCAACAAATAAAGCTAGTACTTTAATTCAAAATTTAACACTATATATTTTTTTAATGAGCTTTACTCCTGCATATTATGTATATATTAACACTCTTAAGCATTATTTTTTCAGGTGTAAAGGATATTACAGTTTCAATCGTGCTTTACGCCCAAAATGAATCTGAGCCTCATAATAAAAAAGGGCGTAAAGAACATTTTAATGAATTTTCTGAGACGTAAGGCACATCTATTTTCTAAAATAACAAACTATACTAAAAACTAAATATTTCATCGTCTGCATCTCAAGATTTTAGAAATATTTTGTCTACATCACTTTTTTATAACTTTAAAAACAAAAGTGTAATGAATTTAAGTAATTTAAAAAAAACTTATTTTGGCTCTCCTGAAAAGTCGTGTTTTGTGCTTTACGTCAATTGAGATTACAAGTATCGAGATGTATTCTGTGAAGAACTGGACACAATGATAGAGAAGTTCGCACATCTCCAACCAGCTTTGGTCAATCGTTCGGCTCCGCTGCTCCTGCGCGACAACGTGCAACTTCATACTGCACAGCAGACGGTCTCCATGGTCTGGGTTTGGAAGGTCTCCGTTATCCACCGTACTCACCAGACCTTGCCCCTACAGATATCTAGTTTCTCCAGAATTTATATAACTTCTTAGCGGGGAAAAAATTCAATAACCAAGAAGCAGTTTAACATGCCTTTGAAGAATTTGTTGCCTCCCGTCCAGGAGACTATTTCAAATAAGGCATCAATAAGCAACCACTACGTTGGTAAAAATTCATTGATTGCAAGGGTAATTACATTAATAAAAATAATAAGAATATAGAAAGAAGGGCAATAACTTATTTCATGATAAACGGCAACTTCGTAGGTCTTATTATGTCGAGTACCTTCTTTTTCGGAAAAGACATTAAGTCGTTAGTCTCGACTGTATCTCGAGTCGTTACTCGTCCGCGTGGTGAGTCAAGCCACCCATTCTCCCTCTGCGATCCATAGGTAACAGCTATGCCCCAGTAATGAAGACGAGACAAAATATAAAAAGGCTGATGATGAAACATTTAGATCAAGCAGTTAATTGATTGAATAAAATTTATTTATGTAAGTGGAAAACAAGCTTATGACCCACCTAATGGTAAGCGGCCGCCATAGCCTATAGACGCTTGCTATACCAAAGTATCACTCTCGTCGTTGCTTACCCTAACCTTGTCACCGATCCTGTGAAGCCCTGGAACCTTATTAATCGACAGAAACACAACACAATCAGAAAGTTGTGCTACTTCACTGTTATCAATAATTTTGCTCTATATGCGCTGGAGATCTTCATGCAAATTCTAGAAAATTGTCAAGTGGTCTCAAGGATTGAGATAACAAAAAGTTTGGATATCTCAGGTCGGTAGCGCCTTTCAGTAATTACTTTGGCGGCTCAAGCATAAAGTGCAACTCACCCGTAACCAATGTAGTTGAGTGGCACGTCTGATACACAATGCTTGTATCATACGATTGATGACGAATCCATGAATACGCGCGTAGGTATGAAGATACGAGTGCATGATCGATATTACATTGCACAGCGTCTTGCGGAGGGAGCGAATAAAAACTCGAAATGAGAATGTAAATTGTATTTATTACGAGTAATAAAAGAACAAAGCAAAAAACAATAAGGCGTGCCAGCAGGTAATAAAAGCTACGTTATATATACAAATACATTTGTATGAGCTCTCATACATTTACGATGTTACATCGCTTTTCGAAGATTAGATACCGGATTTGGATTTTGGAAAATATCGACAAAATACTTAGATAATACAATATTAAGGATACTTAAACTTGGAATATCTGGCTCCTTGACCGGCACTCCGTGACAGGCAAGTCGATTCTTCGCCCCTGACTTGGTGACTACAAGAAGAGAAAATAGGGTAGGCTGTCGACAAGACTTAATGACTTGACTTGAAATCGTCACTAGAGATTCTAATTGAGGGAGAGCTAATTGCCTGTGGTACACAGAACGGCGTTGTACTGAATGCATCATTAACTTGCACCATTAATGGTGCAGATGAAACTAATTGGTTTAGTTTGCACCATTATCATAAATACTACTGTTCATAAAAAAAGTAAGAAAAAAAACAAATGAATGCTGAATAAACAAATAAACTCCAAATACTCGATTATGTTTGTGCAATAAAAGTTTCACTCATTGTTGTTACGAAAATTTACACCAGTCAGATAAAATTGTAAAATTAAATTATAACATGCAATGAGAAACACTTAATTTTATAACCACTTTTAGAGTATAATGACACTTATAACTACACACACTTCATTACACAATGGTGCAGATGACGGTGCACTATCTATAGGTACTGTGTTTGTCTAATATTTAGCCAAGACACAAATTGCTTCTTGATAATAATGATTGTATATATTTCTCAGCCCGGTAGATTTCGTCTTGAGTGAAGAAAACTCCAAAATATAAGAAAATGACTTTAATTTTAGTTTAAAATTACACAGCTTGTACGTGACAATATTAAAGCAGAGAAAAAGTGAATGACTGTCAGTTTTCATATTACGACTCCCGCCGTCTAAAATGTTAACGCTTGCTGGAAAGGCATAGTAATATTTTGGTTGATTGGGCGAGGCCGCAACATCTTCCCCCCCGTTGAAATTCCCAGACTTGCAGGTCTTCCATTGTGAGAAGAGGACACAGACGCACGAAGGGTCGGCGAACGCAGCCCCTGGTAGTTTTGACATCCGCTACTCTTGCAATTCCATCGGGGCCAGGGAACAGGCGAGCTACTCTTCCAAGGCGCCAACAAAGAGGAGGCACGTTATCTTCTTTCAACAAAACTAGGTTTTCAATGTTGAGGTTCTTGGAGTTTGTTTTCCATTTCAGACGCTGTTGAAGCTCGCTTATATACTCTCGTTGCCAGCGTTGCCAAAAATATTGATGCATTTGTTCGATCCTGACGTATCTTTGTGGATGTGTTTCCTTCTTATCGGTCGGGAGCCGGCAATGCTGTTAATGATCTTCCTACAAGAAAATGCCCTGGAGTTAAGGGTAGGAAATCATCTGGAGAAGAGGATAAAAGGCATAGGGGACGACTGTTCAGAACTGCTTCCACTTGCGCAAACAACGTGGAGATTTCTTCAAAGGTAAGATGACAATTTCCCATTACCCGTTTTATATGAAATTTCGCGGTTTTTATACCGGCTTCCCAAATGCCGCCGAAGTGAGGAGCGTAAGTGGGTGTAAAAATAAATTTAATGCCTTCATGAGTTGCAAATTCGGAAAGAGCGTTATTATTTGAATTTAGAAATTTTGAGATGTCTTTAGCTGCTGCTACAAAATTTCGACCGTTGTCGCAGAAGATTTCTAAAGGTTTGCCTCGTCGAGAGATAAATCTGCGTAGAGTCATAACAAATGCTTCCTTAGAAAGATCACTCACTGCCTCTAACTGTACGCATTTAAGACGCAAGCATATAAATAGACAAAGGTAACATTTTACTACCTTGGCCCCTCGACCCTTACGATTTAGTATGTAAAAGGGCCCCGCAAAATCGACTCCCAATGAAGAGAATGAAGGGCTCGGTGTTATGCGTTGAGGTGGTAGATCTCCCATTTTTGGACAGAGTGTATTACTACGCAGCCGTTTACAGCGTACGCAGTCGTGAACTGTACGTCTCGCTAACCGCCTGCCGTTTAGGGGCAGAGATGTACAAAATGGTTTTAAAAAAGCATTTAAATACAAAATGCAAAATACTTTTCAGATTTACTATTTCAAATGCAAAATACTAAATAGTTTTGCGTTTTGTATTTCAAATGCTAAATGCAAAATAGGTATTTTCAAAATACTTTTCCAAAATAAAATACCCCCTGACCAAATCACAGATATTTTTATTTATTATAGGTACATATTTACTTATCATACATGAGCAATAGAGACACACAATGCCGAGCCGAAAAACAAACGTCTAATAACATATTACATATGATTACACTTTTCTTATTAAAACTAATAACAACTGGAACTGGACTGGTATTGTTAAAAAGTGATAAAAATAAATATCATTGTTTATTTACGCTTTTTAACAATACCAGTTGTTCGAATACATCATCACTCATTTTTCTTCTGTGAGATCTCATTATCATCCCACCATACGAAAAAAGTCTTTCTACTGGTGCTGAACTTGGTAAGGATGTGTTGTATTTAAAAAATACTTTTTTTTACTGTAGGATAAGCATTTAGCATCTCCAGACTTGTGCTCTCATCCTTTAAATATTGCAGGGTTTCCAGATCTATTGTAGTATTATTAGCACTACCACCCTCACTGGTTGCCGAGGAATCTGAATCCTGGAACATGTAATAAGACTCGCTTTTTTCTCTTTTTCTTTCCGATGTCTGTGATAGGAGGCAGCTTTTTAAATTTTCATTTTTAAATTTCCTTACTTCTTGGATAATCAGCTCCCTAAGATGCTCCTTCTTATTTTTAGGCACCCACTTTAATTTGAAAAATGGATACGATATTGCTGCCAGAATGCTGTCCTTGGATCTTGGGTTATCTAAATCAATCATATCATAACCGTTTCAGTATTATAGAAATAATAACAACACTTCAATATCAGAAAAGTAGGTAATTAAATCAGTAACTACTTCACTAGCACCAGAAAATAATAAACTCGTCGTGAAATCAAATCGTCGGTGTCAACGGCTATGCGTTTCATATCCATGATTTCAAAGCCATAAATAATGTTCGCCGTTTTCGTTGGAAATTGACACTTGTCAGACATTACTTGCCATAAGGCGCGCACTTTGACCAAAGAAGAAAAAATTGTCGCGCATGGTTAGCAGGCGCCTCTATCGGTCGAATTCGGCAATACAAGCGTTTTGTTTTGTTTGACTGGTAATGTTGGCTAAACTTAATCACAAAGTATTTTGCATTTTGAAATTAATATTAAAAATACAAAATGCATCTCGAAAGGCATTTCAAATAAAATACAAAATACTTTTCACTGAAAGGTATTTAAATACAAAATATAAAATAGGTATTTTGCATTTTCTATTTCATTTAAAATAGAAGTATTTCAAATAAATCACATCTCTGTTTAGGGGCCACACTGTTTCTCGAACCACGGACAACTCACCATCCGGCCAGTGTCCCCCGTCGCCGGCACTTGTTCCCGTTGCTGTGGAAGCCTTGCTGTCTGCTTCGTGGAACTTACCTAAGTCCCACCCAGCCACTGAGCACGTCTCGCCATCCGACCAGTGTCCCCCGTCGCCGACGCTTGTTCCCGCTGCTGTGGAAGCCTCGTTGTCTGCTTCGTGCAACTTAGTGGAGTTCCACCCAGCTACTGAGCACGTCTCGCCATCCGACCAGTGTCCCCCGTCGCCGACGCTTGTTCCCGCTGCTGTGGAAACCTCGTCGTCTGCTTCGTGGAACTTACCTGAATCCCAACCAGATACTGAGCACGTGTTGCCATCCGACCAGTGTCCCCCGCCGCCGGCGCTCGTTTCCGCTGCTGTGGAAACCTCGTCCTCTGCTTCATGGAACTTACCTGAGTCCTACCCAGCTACTGAGCACGTCGCGCCATCCGTCCAGTGTCCCCTGCCGCCGGCGCTCGTTCCTGTTGTTGTGGAAACCTCGTCGTCTGCTTCGTGCAACTTAGTTGAGTCCAAACAAGCCACTGAGAATGTCTCGAATGGATTGTCACCACTTACTTCCGATTTAAAACACATGTCCAGTAAAAATAGAAGAAAACGCATAACAAAACTAAAGAAGGCTTTTATCGATTTTGTTTCTGATACAGAAGAACAAGATTTTTCCTCAGTTCAGACCTATGGAATAGTGGTAATGAATCTAGTTCTAGCGACATCTCAGAAGAGACAAAAACAAGAAAGAAAATTAAAAGAAAGAAGTTACAAAATAAAAAAGACCACAATCCAACAATGATTGAATTAAAAAAAATACGTGTCAACAAAACTAAATTGAGCAAAGTTTTGAAAGACTCAAGTAAATCATACGCGACAAGAGACGGCCAATTAAAAACCGACAAAAAATGAAAGAAAATCCTTGTAATGCAGAGAAATGTCTTAGAAAGTGCTACGAAATAAGTGAAGAAAGAAGGAAAAGTCTTCACGACCATTTTTGGAATCTTGACACTTTGCGTAGGCGAGACTGGATACTTAGATGCGCTCAAGCAGTTCCTATTAAACGTAGGAAACGTTTGGCTAATGACAATAATCGCAGACAGACTACGTACGAATACACTATCAATCAAGGGGAAGGGCACACACAAGTATGCCAGAAGTTTTTGTTAAACACATTGTGTATTTCGCAAAAATATTTATTGTATACAATAAAAAATTCACATGAAAACATGGCTCAATGTGATAGAAGGAGACCCAATGTTGCTGAAACGTACTCTGAAGAGACCAAACAATATGTGAGAACCTACATTACGAACCTACCGGCGATACCATTCCATTATAACAGAAAAAGAAGTAACAAGACATATCTTCCTCAAGAGTTTAAAAATGTGTCTAATCTTTACCGTCTCTATTCAGAACATTGCAAAAGTATGCAAAGTGAGGACAATCCTCATCCTAAATATCAAATAGTAAGTAAGAGACTTTTTAGAAACATTTTCTCTGAATATAACATGAGTTTTCATGTCCCAAAAAAGGACAAATGTGTACAATGCACAAAGAATGAAAATAATGAGAATACAGTCAGTAATGCTGATGTTGAAAATCACCTTGCTGAAAAAATAGCCTCTTATAAGAGGTTTAAGTTTCACCAAAATCTTAGACCTCAATACAATGATACGGTTGTATGTAGTTTTGATTTACAGAAAGTGCTGAATACGCCGCATGGTGAAAGCATGTTGTTATATTACTCGCGAAAATACGCAGTATACAATCTTACATTTTATGAAAGTGTTACGCAGAATGTTTTTTGTTTTACTTGGGGTGAAACGGATGCTAAGCGAGGAAGTAACGAGATAGCCACTTCTATATCGAAATACTTGGAAATTGTTGATCAAAGGAGCATAAAAAATGTAATACTATATTGTGATTCATGCAGCGGGCAAAACAAAAATAAGAATGTACTAGCGGCTATAAATAACTTTCTACAAGCTTCAAAATATGTCGAAGTTGTGCAAATTAACTTTTTGCTTCCAGGCCATACCTACATGCCTGTTGATTCAGTGCATGCTGTGATAGAGAGAGAAGTGAGGAGGCTAATTGTGTGGAGTCCATCACAATGGGCTACATATTTTGAATCTGCCCGTAAAAAGCCGAGACCTTATACAGTAATTGCTCTTGACCATAACGATTTTATAATAATAATAATAAACATTACAGGCCGGTTGAATGGCAGACGTGGAGAATAGAGGGATAGAAAACAATTAAAAATACTTGCAGAATATTTTTATTATAAGTTGATTATTCAATATTATTAAAAACTGATTGACAAACAAAAAAATAGTAGTAGTTTCTTGTTTTGTTTTTAATTATTTGTTGATTAGTGATGTACCTTTAATTTGAAGACTGATTGAATGTATAATGCCTTAACAATGTCAATTTTAGTGCAAATGAGGGAATGCTTATGTAATACCTACCCACTTTGTCAAATTATCTTTGCTAGAACACTTTGAACACTTACAGAGTTGGGATAGAATCAACATTCCCTCGTTTGGTGTAAATTATTTGATAGTTATTTTAATATTAATACTATGACGCTTTATGTTATTGCTTGTGGATTTTTTGTTGCTTTTTGTTTTATTAGTAATAAGCTGGCTTTGTTATCTTATCAAAAAAGTATAAAGAACAAATACCTACATATAGTTTAAGTAAATAATAAAAAAAAACTGTTACGGCGATTTAGTTCTTTCTTCTGGTCTCCTTTATTAATTGTAATAGTTGAGTGTAAAAAGGAATGCTGCTCTTAAAACGCACAGTTACTTAATTGAACCTACGCTGATGATAGCAGAATGTTTAAGATTAATTATTATTTTAAAATAATAAGACATGACGATTTATTACTTAAATAATTCTTTTATTTTTTAGTTATCCATACATTAATTCCCTTGATAGCACATGTTATTTAAAATTACTTGTAGGCTATGTATGCTACACCGCCTAATCAACAAATAAAGCTAGTACTTTAATTCAAAATTTAACACTATATATACTTAATTAGCTTTACACCTGCATATTATGTATATATTAACACTCTTAAGCATTATTTTTTCAGGTGTAAAGGATATTACAGTTTCAATCGTGCTTTACGCCCAAAATGAATCTGAGCCTCATAATAAAAAAGGGCGTAAAGAACATTTTAATGAATTTTCTGAGACGTAAGGCACATCTATTTTCTAAAATAATAAACTATACTTAAAACTAAATATTTCATCGTCTGCATCTCAAGGTTTTAGAAATATTTTGTCTACATCACTTTTTTATAACTTTAAAAAGAATCTATAAGTTTCGTTCTTGAATAAATGAAGCTAAGTAGAAAATAAATCGTGTCATGCTATAATTAGTAAAATAATTATTATGGTAAGTAGGTACCTTTGACTGAATGACACGTATTGCGCTGTGGAACAAATCTGTTACATTTTATATTTAATAAGGAAATGAAACTTGTAATTACGGAAATAGGCAGGAAATTAGGACTCAAAATTAGTGATTAAGGACGAGCATTTAACTTATAGTGATCACGTCGAAAAGTGTTGATCGCCTTGGTACTTAATTCCATTATATGTAATTGAATTTCGGGGTAATTTGTAGGGGGGGTGGAGGGGAGGCTCCCCCCGACCCCCCCGCCATAAACGATTTTTGGCGGAAATGCAGTTTTTTTTTTTTTTACCTAACCTAAAAATTCATTAAATCTGTTAAATGTAGTGGAATTTCAGGGGGATAGGTATTAGGGAAGACCCCTCAGAGGGAAGGGTAAATCCCCCTCCCCCCTCCCGGCGTTTTTTTACAGAAATGATAATTATAAAAAATTAGAGGGGTTTTATAGGTAAAATTGTACTTCCAGGGCCTAGAGATGATATTTGATTTTTTTGTAGAAAAAGTCTCTATTAACGAATTTTTCTTTCTGGCGCTTCGCCGGCCGCTGCCGCGGCACGCTCGCTTCGCTCGCTCGGCTCGCGCGTTAAGGTCACAACACTAACCTAACCTAACCTAGTGTGAAGTATCACCACACAAGCGGCTCATTAGAGTCCAAAACTCGCACTACACTCGACTCTTCAGGCGAAGGGCCAGCAGAACTCGAGGTCGAAGGCTTTGAGGATGCCATGGTAGTCAGACGACGTTAATATCAACAGGAGTACGAAAAAGCTCTCAACTGCGACGAACACAAACACTGACTGACAGATCTCATTAATGGCGGTAAATTGTCACATTTTGACAATAGTACCAACATAATAAACTTATATTTACCATAGACAACGAGAAACATGTTATTTTTGCATAAAAAAATGGCAGCACTGATCAAAATTGCTGTCAAAGTTGACTCATAACCTACAAAAATATTAATTTTCAATAATTTTTTTTTCGAGTTCTATTCGTTTCCGCCTAAAAAGATTTCGTGTACGTGTTTTTGATAGTTAACACTTTGCGTGACAAAAATTTCAGCTTGCAACTCAATTACATATAATGGAAAGCTGAGCCATCGCCTTTGTAATAATTTTTCCTTTTAGAAGGTCGCACCGAAGCCCGGAATATAGTATGAATCCTTCCTTGACCTTGATATTATGGTAATTTGAAAATATTCTTGATATTGGCTTACGGACTGCAATCGTATAGTATTCTTTTGCGAGCCCGTGTCCTGTCACGGTCGCCACTTTTAATGTCTAATATTTAGCCAAGACACAAATTGCTTCTTGATAATAATGATTGTATATGTTTCTCAGCTCGGTAGATTTCGTCTTGAGTGAAGAAAACTCCAAAATATAAGGAAATGACTTTAATTTTAATTTAAAATTACACAGCTTGTACGTGACAATATTAAAGCAGAGAAAAAGTGAATGGCTGTCAGTTTTCATATTACGACTACCGCCGCCTAAATGTTAACGCCTGCTGGAAAGGCATAGCAATATTTTGGTTGATTGGGCGAGGCCGCAACAGTGTTTCTATAATCAGTTTGTTCTGCACCATTAATGGTGTATTCGGGGTCTTGCGATGAATTAATTAAATATATCTGCACACATGACACGCTTTGAGTCGTAGTTTGCACACAAAATAACCAGGCAATATGCTGTGCTGGAGCTTGATTGAGCGTAGTGTTTTCGGTTGCTTTATTGATTGGTATTTTTGGTTTGTATAGTGTATACAGTCGTTGCGGCGTGCGTCGCATGTCCCTGTGAGTGTAAGATAAATCAAAATTTTATTCTGTATAATTTCGCTAAGCATATTCAGTGGGTAAGGTTAGGTTTGGGTTGTGACCTAAGCGCCAGTCGCCATAGATAATTAGATAAATAAACAAGGAAAAAAAAATATTATACCAAAGGACGATTCTGACTGCGAACTTTCTGCGATATGATGGTTCTGTTTTTTTTAATTATTGTGGATGTTAAAATGCCTGAAGATGATTATGGCTAACAAAATTATGCATTTGAATGTCTGCTAAATGCATGAATGCCAAATGATTTTCTGCAAAATGAAGTTTATGCCATCCGCTGATATGAATAATAATATTATGGCGTTAAAAGTTCTACGTTACAAGGCATACCCATTATAACGAGCTTATTATATCCTAAATATATAATCTTATCGGATGTTGCTATCCAACCAATACTCTAAACTGAAATTCCGGAGTAGATGAATCGGAAATAAACGTATTTCATATATAAGTCTTGAAGAAGCTCTCTTGGTGAATTTTACTTCATTTATTATGCAGATACGAGTACGTACCTTTTCCTAGTAGGTGAGGTGGTCTTG